TGTCTTAAAACACAATATCTTGCTCTGTCCTCTGTGTAACACCCCCCTCCCCCCCCAACCTAAAAAATAGTATTGTTTACGCCTGGGAAAAACCTGGCTCTTCATCGCCTGTGATCTCTGACAAAAAAAGCCTCTCCTGACCTCCTGGTGTGTGTGAGTGTGTGTGACCTGTTACGACCTCGTTTCTCACAGCTGATGCGAGGTCGTGACCCCTCAGAAAGCCCAGCTAAAGCCCGAGGAAGAGCAACACGAGGAGGAGGTCAACATTGCAACCCCAGCAGCGGACTCAATCTTAAAGTTGTTATTCCCATTAGTTAGCCAACTTTTTTTGGTCGTGAATCTTTTATTTCCTTATTCAATTCATGGTTGTTCTTACATTCTCTCTTTTTTTTCCAACCCTCCTTTTCGTATTTGATTTCCTTAGACATTACTTTCTCCCCTGTTTACTTTACCTTCTACGGTAATTCAGGACACAAGTACCTCGGTGTGTATCTTAGTAGAGCCCATGCGTGCATACATACCTTTCTTGTATTTGTTATCCAAGAATTCCTTCCTTTGCTCTTTGGTGGCGCATCGCAATTTTGAGTCGAAGGTGGACTTAGAGAGCGTCCGAGTTTCTCCCAAGCCCCAGAAGGAGGACAAGAAGGGCCAGGTCGACCTCGACGGGGGGGTGCAGGCAGTCACGGCCGGTGCTGGTGGTCGTAGTGATGATAATGGGATAGTCATGATAATATTGATAGTAGCAATGCTGATAATAATGATAATAGAAATAATAATAGTAGTGATAATAATAATAATAATAATAATAATAATAATAATAATAACAATAATAATGATAATAGTAATAATGATAATAATAATAATGATAATAATAATGATAATAGATCAGATCCCCTCTACTTTCTCTGTCGCTGTCATAATTCGAGAAAAAAAAAGTCCACCTGACTGCCTGTCACTATTTCCCGGTTGTGGCGTCGACACTCAGACCCGTCTCTGTTTTTTCTTGAGATCTATAGAAATTTCTTTATTTCCCCTCCTCTCCCCTACTTTCTTCCCTCTCCCCCACTTCTCCTCCGCCCCTTCCACCCCCACCCCCCACAAGGACGCAGCGGCGGGCGGATGGGCGTGAGGCGGCCGGCTGGTGGGCGTGATGATGCTTAGTTTTGCCTCATCCTCTGTTCTGGACGCAGAGATGTGACGCGTCGGGAGTTCGCTCTCTTGTGACCTTCTGTCCCTCGCCCTTTCTCCATTTTCTCTACACAAAGCGATACATACATGATTCTCCTTCAATACTGAGACCCTTTTGTTCAATACAGTGTTACCCTGACACGGACGCTACAAACAAACGCTTTTTTTCTCTCTCTCTCTCTCTTCTTTTCCGGAATTTGAACACACAACTACAAGAGAATATAACGAGGTCTGCAAATTTGAGCATTTATTTATGCTTACACTGTACATCATCAACTATACATCATACGTTAATAATAATGCTAATAAAAGGCCTTTTATAAATTTCTACACGGTTTGCAGGGCCCCTAAGCCACTAACAATGTGATTAAGCCGTATGTTCATCTAATACAGTGATATTACTATGATGATATACAAATAACTCTTAAATCGCCATCAGAAACCAGAAATTCAATAATAAAACAACATATACACGGTATGTCGCCATCACCCCACACCTACACCCGCGTGGAACTAAACATTAAATAAACTCTCATGCATATCGTCCACATCGTTTCGAAGACACCTTAGTACGCTATAGATGTAGGTTCCCCATAGAAATTCCGCTCTTAGAACCAGTCGACTAGATAGATCTTTAGTCTTCCAGCCGTAT